CTGCAGATCGTCGGCGTCGTGGACCAGGGCCCGGCCGGCGTCACGGTCTACGACGGCAAGGACGTCGGCTGCCTCACGAAGGACGTCGCGGAGCACGCGCGCCGCGTCCGCCTCGAGCCGTCGTCGCTGCTCCACGGCGCGACGCGCCGGACGGGCGGCGGCGCCGAGCTCGAGCACGCCGACCGCTTCCGCGCGAGCGGCGGCGTCGACAGGGACACGGGCGTCCGCTGGGCCCACGGCCACCCCGACCGCCGCCTCGCGGACGAGGTCCGCGACGGCGAGGGCGTCCGCGTCAACGGCGCGATCGAGGCCGGCGAGGACCGCGAGTGGCGCCTCGCCAACCCCAACTTCGTGACGCTCACGGAGCTCGAGGAGGAGCCGCTCTCGAGCGCCAACGTCTACACGGCCTTCGAGCCGACCGCGGCGGCCGAAGTCAACTTCGGCCTCGGCGAGCTCGACCGGCGCCTCGTCGCGCGCGACGGCGCGGCCTGGAACGAGATGTGCGTCGGCGGCCCGGCGTCGGCCTGGGGGTGGCTGCCCTTCGTGCTCCTCGACGAGCGCGCCCTCGACAAGTGCATGCTCTACAACCGCGGCGTCTTCAGCACCGTCCTCCCCTGGGACTTCCTCCTCGACCAGTACCGCTGCGCGGCCTTCGAGGAGGGCGCGAACCACGTGACGGCGTCGCTGCCCGACGGCACGCGCTGCAGCACCAAGGTCGTCGAGGCGATCCAGCGTTCGTGGCTCGACCACGCGACGCCGCTCATCGGCGTCCGCGTCGTCGGCGCGCCCGCCTACCGCGAGAGCGGCGAGCGCGGCGAGGCCATCGACTTCACGCTCGAGGCCATGGACAACTGCCGGGTCCAGGCGCTCGTCGCGTGGGACGTCGGCCGCTACGGCCCGCCGGGCGGCGAGCTGAAGACGGACCGCGACATGTCCCTCCAGGACCTCACGATGCACGGCGGCACGGACTGGACGGTCGGCGGCGTGGGCGTCTACGACCGGTCGAAGCTCACCAAGGCCCAGCCCGCCATGTGCGAGCACTGCATCGTCTTCCTCAAGGACGCCGACGAGACGTCCTCGCCCTTCTGCATCCTCAACGCGCGGCCCACCGCGGGCGAGCTCCAGGACCTCAAGACCCGCGTGTCGAACAGCGAGGACCCGGAGGAGGCCTTCTGGGCCAAGCACACCGTCGGCAAGCCCCTCTCCAAAACGCGCCTCCTCATCGTCGCGACGTGCGAGATCGAGAAGTTCGGGTCCATCAAGGACGCGCCGTCGGAGTTCATCGTCGACTTCGGCGGCGAGCCGGCGGCCGTCAAGACGAGCTTCGCGGCCGCGCTCGACCGCGCGCTCCGGGTCCAGGCGGACTGGCGCGAGAAGACCGGCCGCGGCGCGTCCAAGTCGTACTTCGCGCGGTCGACGCCGTCGCCGTCGCGGATCACCGGGGCCTTCGACGCCGTGGCCGCCGACGACGCCATGGACGTGGACTCGGTCGCGTCGACGAACGTCGACGACGACGACATGCCCGACGCGTCCGTCACCGATTTCGCGGCGCCCGCCGAGGACCTGCGGTCGCCGCCCTGGGACTTCAAGCACGTCGGCCGCCACCACGCGACGTCGGTCCACTTCGAGGCGAAGGCCGCGGCGCGGCCCGAGGAGGGCGTCTCGGAGACGTGCGACGCGCCGCAGTCCGTCGCGGCCGCGGCCGCGGCCGCGGCCGCGCCGGGCTTCGACGACGGCGACTTCCTCCCCACGCACCCCGACGAGGACAACGTCGCCGCCGTCGCGAAGGCGGCCAACAAGTTCGACGCGGCCGCGCCGGGCTTCGACGACCGCGACTTCCTCCTCGAGCACCACAACGAGGACAACGTCGGCGCCGTCGCGAACGCGACCGACGAGGCCGCCAACGTCGACCCCCGGCCCGGCATGAAGCGGCCGCCCTCGACGCCGGACAAGACCAAGGGCTCCGAGGAGGAGAAGAAGCAAGGCGAGGACGCGGAGACGGGGAAGCTGCCGCCGAGCTCGACGAAGGGCCGCGACAAGGCGCGGAAGAAGGAGGTCGACGCCGAGGCGGTCGAGCTCGAGGCGGTCGAATCCTCCACGTCGGACGAGGAGCTGCCGGTGACGAACCGCCGCACGGCGCGCATCTTCTACCTCTCGGAGTTCGACTAGGAAGTGACCCTACCGAGGCCGAATTCTTCGCCTACGACGACGCGCCCACGGCCATGCCCGCCCCCGACCCTCGCCGCCTCGCGTGCGACTTCGGCAAGTCGGAGCTGTCGGGCTCCGACTGAAGGCCGACTGTACATTAATCTCGAGCTCGGGCCGCAGCTTCACCTCGAGGCGCAGCTGCCAGGCCGCGAGCTGGATGGGCGTCACGTCCGCGTCGGCCCTCGGGTCGACGCTGCCGCCGCAGCGCTCGACGAGGCAGCGGCACGCGGCGACGCGCCCGTTGCGCGCCGCGAAGTGGAGCGGCGCGCGGCCGTTGGTCTGCTGCGGCGCGTCGACGGCGCAGAGCCCCTCGTCGACGAGCCAGGCGACGCAGTCGGGGAAGCCGCCGCCCGCGGCCCAGTGCAGTGCCGTGCAGCCGTGCTTGTCGACGGCGCCCGCGACGGCGGCGCGGTCGAAGCTCTGGAGTTTTCCGAGGTCGCCGGCGGTCGCCGCGGCGATGACGTCGCCGTGCCGCGGGGTCACGGCGCGGCGGCCCATGGTGTGTTAGTGCGCGGCAGGGCTCATCGACTCGGTAGTGGCAATGCCGCCGCCCGCCGCGGAGAAGACGCCCGACGCGCCGCGCGGCTGGTTCGGCGCGTCCATCCTCCGTCAACACTCGCTAAATCGATCTTCAATATTGACTCATTTACCCTCGACGAAAGGCTGCCCCGAACGAGAAGCATGACGTAGCATGATGCTCATTCGCGCATTCTCGCTCGTCGCAGTCGCGCATGCGACGTACGTGCTCGACGCGTCGTTTCCGAACTTGACCGACGTCCCAGCGGACGTGCTCGCGAACTTCTCCAACGTGCGCTGCGTCGCCTTCGACGGTTTTGACCTCCACGCCGTGCACCTCGGCTCGCCGCCGATCCTCACCTTTGGCATCGACGGCGCGTACAAACGGGCCTGGGGCGCGGGCGCGCTCGTCTTCCCCCACGGCTGCGTGCACCACGCCGGCGAGCTCTGGGTCGCGGACGCCATCAACAATCCGCACCTCGGGTGGTACGCAGCGTCCTGTGGCGGTGACGATTTTCGAGAGATTTTGACCGGGAAAACGAAGAGAAATCGTTACCGACATGCTTGGCAGGTGGTACGGCGACTTCACGGTGCGGCGCCTGCGCGTCGCGACGGGCGCGCTGCTCGCGAAGCTCGGCAGGAGCGGCCGCGAGGGCTCGGGACGACAGCCCTTCGAGCTCGCGGAGGTCACGGACGTCGCCTGGGGCTTCGGCGCGCTCTTCATCTCCGACGGCTGGGACGGCGACGGACTGAACGAGCGCGTGGCGAGGCTCGACGGCGCCACCTACGAACCTGTGTGGATCCGCGGCAACAACGGCACCGTCGACCCGTCCGACGACCCCGTGGGCAACTTCTCGCAGCTCCACAGCGTCACCATCGACGAGTCGCGGAACCGCGTCTGGCTCGCGGACCGGGCGCACAATCGCCTCGTCGCGCTCGACGCGTCGACGGGCGCCTTCGTCGGCGCGTGGCCCTGCGTGGCCGAGGTGAACGGCGCCGGGCCCAACGCCGTCCGCTACGACGGACCGCGAGATCGCGTCGTCGTGTCCGTGGGCAACGGAGGCCCTAGCGCCGCGACGAAGGCCGATTCTTTTATCTTCGCGCTCGACGCCGCCAGCCCGTCCGGCGCGTGCAACTTCGCCGCCGCGCCGGTGAACACGTCGACGACGGACAACGCCCACGAGCTCGCCGTCGACGAGACCACGGGCGACGTCTACGTCGCCTACGAGAACGACGAGCTCGGCATGCCGCGGCGCTACCGCCTCGCCTAAAGGACCCTATGGCGGGCGGAGGAGCGCGAGGAGCGCCGCCTCGTCGTAGTCGAAGCGCGCCGTGAGGTTCACGGCCGCGCCGCTCGGGTTGTTGTCGAAGACGGCGGCCGTCTCCGCGAGCTCGAGCGCCCGCGGCAGGCACGCGTAGTCGAGCCAGAAGGGCACGGCGAGGACCGCGGGCCGCGCGCAGAGCGTCGCGGCGAGGTGGGAGAAGCCCGACTTGGACGTGACGACGAGGTCCGCGGCGCAGAGCGCGTCGAACGCGTCGACGGCCTCGCGCGGGCCCACGTCGACGTCGACGCCCGGCAGCGCCGCTCGGAAGTCCGTGCGGTCGCCGCCGATGTCCGGCACGAGGCCGCCGGGCCGCGCGCCCTCGGCGAGGACGACGACGCGCGCGCGGGCCGCGATCTGGCCCGTTTTCATGGCCTCGGCCGCGTCGTAGCTGACGTCGTGCTCGTCGTGGGCGAAGACCTTGTACCAGTGGCCCCGGAAGTGGGTCCAGCCGTCGAAGACGTCGCCGTCGGCCGCGTCCGGCGCGTCGGCGCCGCCGAGGACGACGCGGCGCCGCCGCGGGTCGCCGCTCTCGGAGAGCGACAGTTCCAGGTCGCTGTCGAAGGTCGCGTAGAACGTGTAGTTCGCGGACACGGGCGCGACGAAGAAGCCCTCGAAGGAGCCCGCGCCGGGCCCGTAGACGGGCGCGAAGGACACGTCGGCGGCGTTCGTCGCGTCGTAGCCCGCGCACGACGCGTTCGCCGACGCCGTGCAGTTGGCGTCGTCGTCGTAGCGGTGCGCGACGACGACCTCGTGGGCCGCGTGGGCCTCGAAGGCCCGCACGCGGCGCCCGCGGCACTTGTCCGGGCAGCCCTTGACGGTCTCGTAGGTCGTGCCGTTGACGGAGCAGGGCTCGCCGAGCTTGCACGTCTCGTTGA